CCGAGCTCGCACGGGGTGACGCTAGGGAAAGGTTGCTCGTAGGGTTATTCGGCGACGATGGATTCGGACTCTGAATAGCTATCGGTACGCTTGCCGATCTCGTTGTTTGATGATAAGGAGGTGGAGGACCCTGGCTGCGCGGACCGTTACTACTTCCTCCGCTATTTCCGCCGCCACCCACGGAGCTGGCAGATCCACTACCAGTGTTGCTGCCACCTACAGTTCCTGGACCGCCAGTCCCTCGTACTGAAACACCTGGACTGCTTACCCCAACCTATACAAAAGTTAAATTAAAATTAATAAAAGCTCTCAAGGACTCCGTTACAATTTTAACTGCGATTATCGTTTATAAACACTTCTATGTACTTATTAAAGGAGTGAAATTACTTTAGGTATGAATTTTAAATAAATCAAAGAATATTTTTAAAGCTAGAATTATTTATTCTGAAGTAGAAAATGATATTTCAAAATTATATAAAAATTATATTAAATAAAAATCAATAAAATTTATGAATTTCTGCTATTTATATGAAATTACATATAACATATATAATATAAAAATAATGTACTGCATTAATGTATTGCTTTACTATATACATGGTTAACTATGGCTGTGTTTTGTTATAATTAAGAAGCATTTAAATTCAGTGTTCATGATTAATTATACTTCTGACATTTAAGTATAAAAATTGATTATTTAAAAAATTGTTTAATTATAACAATAGTATAGTAGGTCACAATTTCAAGCCTATTAATTTTTTATTTTTATTGTGAACATTGTATCTGATTTACTAATAAATTAATATCTATTAGTAAAAATTACGGTCATAATCATGTATAATGATTATTTTTAAAATAAAAACAATTAAAAAGAATAACAATTTATCAGTTGAATTACAAAATAATTACAAAACTATCACCACAAATATATAATAATGAAATACTTTTTTGTTACTTCATTGCCGTTATAATTTCCATAAAACTCGTTGACCTCTTTTTTGTACTATTTAACCTAATAGCCTTAGTAGAAAAATATTATTTCAATATTTTGCAATACATTAATATAGAAAACATCAGATTATACAAAGAATATTACTACTATCACTACTACTCAGTATATTACTACTGTTACAAAAAGAAATATAAATCATAATACATATTGTAAAAAACAAAAGAATTATTTAATCTACCTAAATATATTTTATGAAGAAAATGAAATTTAATTTTGAACTTCATTAACAGAAAATAAATACATGTATGAAAGAAAATCGATCATTAATTTGAAGACGCCAATATTCTATCATTGCGCTAGGAAAACATGAATTGGTTGCTGTATGTATTAGCAAGTCAGGCAAATAAAGTTCAACGATTCAGATTATAAACACAATTATTATGCATCATTATTTAAAAATGAATTTCTTATGAAATATGTATGTAAAGTACCTAAGTATTCAACAACTACGTCCATTTAGTAAATTTAAAAACTTTTAAATTAAGATTCAGATATATTCAATACACCAATGTCTCGACATCCATTTATAAATAAGAAATAAAAATAAAAATATTCACCAAACTGTAATTTAAAATCTTAGGTACAAGAATATAACGGATACTTAGGAGTTCGAATAACTATAAAAATAAGAATATTAAAAATACTCAAGACGATGTAAATTCCTTTTAATAATTTTCATATAAAATTCAACCTCAATAGTATTAACACAATTTCCTGTAGTTTGTAAATCGTATAGAAAATTGTCAACTAATTTAAATAAATAAAAGCTATATTTTATCAAACATTCTAAAATAAAATGTCAAAAATATGATTACTGTTACACCAAAAATACATATTTTCTTTGTTGTATTTATAGAATGAAAATTAAAAATAAATCAATATCATAACTACAAAATTTAAAATATAAAATAAAATATTTTAATAATCTATTCAAAAGATTGTTACAACTGGTTAAGTATATATAATTCTTAAGTATAACTAAAAATATTAAATTATTGTAATGATATCAACAAATGTTGTAGTTTAATTTAATACAGATTTTACTAAATAATATAATGTATGATACTCTGAAATACAGAATTGATGAGAATTGTTAGGATTTGTGTATTTTATTCGAACGGAATACGCACGTACACGTATAGTATACAACATTAACGAAAGAATTTCGGATATGATTTTAATAAAGAAAATTTATGCCCATGTTCGTTCTTAATTTGCAATTAATTTTACTTTCAATTTTCTATTTTTATAAGTTATCACATATTTTGAATTTCAAATCTAGGATACTTTTAATTTCAAATACCTTTAAATCACTGTAAACAAATAATTTCTAAAAATTAGAATTTTATGTAATCTAATATTTTATAATTTAAATATTTTTTATGTAAATATTTAGGTTGTTACATAAAAATTGAATTATTATAATTTCTAATTTTAATATATGCATTTAAAAAATTCAATAAGCAAAAGCTATTTTATAATAATTCAACTAAAATATAATATCTAGATTTAATATATATAATGAATATAATGAATAATTTTAGATATAGTTAATAAAATTAATAGAATATTAATCATTGTAAATAAAAATATAATATTAAATAATGTGTTTATAAAATATATAACATTTATTACAATTCTTCAATTTGAAAAGATTGTATATTATAATAGTCGTTTAACAAAGTACAGAATTTTATTCGTGAAATTATTTAAAAATAATAACGTTTTTAATCATTAACAAATCATATTACTTATCTTGTATAATATATTTGAGAGCTAATGTTTAAGAATAATCAGTAAAATACTTTCGAGAAAGATCATATAAAAATTTACAATTTTCAATTATCATTAGAAATTTTAATTTATATATTTTCAATTTTTTATAAATATTGATATAATACAAATATAAATTAACCGCTTACAATTACAAATATAAATTAATAAATTAAAACTATATAAAAAATTTAAATGTAATATTATAAATTAGAAAGATGAGAAATTTCTTCAAAAAATTAAAAAATAAATAATAAGATAATTTTAAACAAACTAAAAACATACACATAACCATATTATAATTTATAAATTTTTTATTTCGATTTTTCTATTAAATAGATCTGCTAAAAATGTAAAATAGAAATTTTTTTTAAATCTTTCATCATAATTTATGACCCATACATTTATAAAACTACCAAAAATCAAACATATAATTAAATAAAAAACAAATTATATAATCAAATGAAAAGGCTATATATTATTTAAGTAATTTTTAACTATTTTCATTAAATCATCAGGAATTAAAGAATAAGATTTAATATTAAGATTATTATAATATTATAATATTAGCTTTACAACAATATTATTTTCAATAATTAAATTCAAGAAATAATCAATTATTAAATCTCTTTCTATTAATTAAAACACATTTTAGAGAAAATAACATTGTTCTTAAATACTTTTGTACTTAAGTATAAAAATGTTTTAAGTATAAAAAATGTCAATTGAATCCATGATTGTTTTAAATTATTAAAGTATACATTACTCATAATTCTACAATGGAAATAATCATTAACTATTGAAATATATCTTTAAATTTAACGTTTTATAAATATGTTATTTAACAATAATTTGATTTACATTAATTAGTTGTAACATAAGAGAATTAAGTAATATATAAATAATAATATAAAATTAATATGCAAATAATTATTAATTAAAATTAATTTATTAAAAGATTCATACCAATAAGTATAATAACATACATAGTAACATATAATATATATTTGACTAATTATGAGATTATATTTATTTAAAAAGTAATATAATAAATTGACCCATTAAGTCGTTGACATATTGAATTTATGATACAATCGTTTAATGAAATTCTTAAAATAGATAAAATAAATTCATTAAATGAATATTTATTCAATTTAATAATCGAATACAACTTAACCATTCATAGAACGAAGAATCATTATTGTAAAATAATATAATATTAATAATTTGTATTTTTAAAATGATCAATTTTTATAAATAATCATACGAAATAAACATTTAATATATTTCTTTTTATTATTACATAAGTAAAAATCATTAATATTCCAAATATTTAAATTATCATATAAATATAAATAACCATTATTACCTTATTCTTTCCATCTAAGAAAGGATGTTGTAATTTATGCCAATCCATTGTTACAGATCCACACTGATTTGAAACAGTTACTGGTGGAAGACTACCCGTTGAACAAAGTGATCCTGGTGCATTTCCTTGTGTTGGATCTATTGATCCACTGGCGACATCTTTTTGTTCAGGAAAAAGCATCTGTCGCATTTTTGTAAGTGCAGCTAACTGTTCTTCTCGATGTTGTCGTTGTTGTGGAGTAAGATTTTCATCCGGTACTTTGACGCCCTGTAATGAAGGCTGCAATCCTCCAGGACCTGGACTGGTCGTGCCTCCCATTAAATTTGGACTGTGACCTATCGCTGCACCACCAACAGGCTGAGGATTAGCTGAAAATTAATTTTTATTATTTTAATGTAAATATGAATTTTTTTCAAATACAAAATTTTTTAAAATTGTTTTTTTTTTATGTGATAAATTTGAAATTATACTACAAAAATTATATAGAATTTTTTATAAATTATATTTAAAAAAATAGTATTTTCCTGTACGTATTTAATTATTTTTCATATTAAATTAATATGTATAAATGTCAGCCATTTGTTATAAAAAAAAAATAAGTTATAAAGTTTTACTAAAATGTATAAATATAAAATACAATCACTTTGTTTTTAATTATCTTTTTTTTATTATTATGACTACTTTTTGTGAATTAAATTTTTGTTTGTAATTCCTATTCATATATAATGTAATATAATGTAATAGTATTTTACAATGCATGTAATACCTGAATTACTAGGAGAGTTGGGCACAAGGCAAGGCACATTAACATTTGTATCATCTATTGACGATTCTGAGTTTCCCAGAGTATTATTGCCATTTAAACTACGCATACTTGACTGCTCATTCCAAAATGCAGATTCATTTGGATCTAGAGGAGGAAGATCCGGTGGCTGTTCTCCTGGAAAACTCATATTTGGACTATGCTGATGACCTTTTTGCTTCATTGCAGCAAGATTATTCAGCCATTGATGAGGATTCTGTCGAAAGTGAGTTATTTTATTTGGATGCTTCTGAAAGAAATAATAAATTTGAGTTCTAATGGTTACACAATAAATATATAAGAAATTAAATATTTCTCAAATTTAACATACCTCCAAATACTTTTTTGTATTTGGTTGTGCCATATGATAAGCAATAATAGTTGGGAATTGACCTTGCATAACCATTTCTGCTCCTTTATTAGCCATATGTGTTGAAAAAACAAATATTTGACTTTGCTGTTGCATATATTGAGCTTCACCTGTATTTGTACCACTTCCCATTTGTTTTGCGAGTACATTGCTGACCAATGGTTGAATTCCATCACCAGATATCCCAATATTTGTGCTACAATCTATACAAAAAAAATAAATATTTTCATTGTGTTTATGTAAACTTATTTATAATTCTTAAATATTAAAAATAATTCATTTCTATAACAATAAAAGAAATATATAATTTAATGTGTAGTGAAAATTAAATAAACACTATCTATTTTTACTTTTGTATAAATAAAATTAACAAGAAATAAACAATATTTTTATATAAACTATATAAATAATAATTGCATTATTAGTCATGCATTGTATTGTTATTCATAATTTATATTCACAATTAGAAAATATTTAAATAAAACATAATGGATGAATAATATGTTTAAACCTATTTCAATTATTTAATAAATAAATTGAATGACTATATATAATTTAAGAGCAAATATGTATTTCATAATTATTACATTTTTAATAAGAATGCTATTTATATTATATGCAAATATAATTTCAATATTAATTTATTAAATTGATTTCATTCATTGATGAAATTCAATAATTAAAATCTAAACATAAAACTCTAAAAAATAAATGAGGATAAAATTATAACGAAAAAAATAACATACCAGAAGACAATTCTTCCACAGTACTAATAGGATCACTTTCTTGTTTAACAGTGGTCAATATTGTTTGACTGTTATTTCCATTTTGACTATCACCACTTATTGTTCCCTCTATAACTGCAGCATCTAATACAGCTTCTTTTAAACATTCAGCATTATCTTCACCGGGTGCATCTTCATTGTTACCTGTGCCAGTTTCTTCCTTGATCTTTACACGATCGCTTTCTGGCTCCTCTTTCACTACAACCGGGGTTACGCAGCTAGGTTCGTTGGATTTTTTCTCAGTCTTCATATTGGCTGTCTACCTGGAGCTTTCTCCGCTCCGAATATGTCAGACTTTTGATTGATTTGCATATAAGCAAACCATGTTCTCTAAGTTGTATTACTGGCACAATGATAAGCCTCTAGAGAGAAGCAAAAATGTTCGGTGCTAGTCTAAAACCTTTAGAAAGATTTGCACCATCATTTGCAACCAATCAGCAAGTGCAGTCTGTGGCTGCATTAAAGTCTGGGTTGAAGTTGCTGTTACCACCGCCGCTGCCGCCGCCAGGCGACGACGTCGAGCTGCTTTCAAGAAAAACCCTGATTACTTGCTCATTCAATCTCTTTCCTGAAGCTAATCTCCCTCTCTTTTAACACTCTTTTCTCTCGCTCTCTCTCTCTCTCTCTTTCTCTCTCACTCAGCTGTGCTTAAGCCCGGCAGTACACGCAGGATATGCCGTGTGTAGATTCAAAGAAATGTGAAGCGCCTAGCGTGCGGAAACACCGAGGCTACACTCGTTTCACTGTGGTTCCACGATTTTTGATCCCAGTGGATAGTTATCTGGTAGCGCGACGGAGACGATGCTGCTGCTGACTCAAGTTGTGCTCGTGCTGCTGCGGAAGCGCGCAGAATTAGCTTAATACTTGTACATACACACTACACGCTCTGCACGAAGCCTTCGGTGAAGTACCTCGTTTATGAAAATAAAAAGAAAAACAACACACTGGGCTCGAAGCAAGCGCGCGCTCTTTCTCTTACTCTCTCTCTCTCTCTCTCTATCTATCTATCTATTTCTTTCTTTCTCTCCCTTCACGGTGTCTTGCGCGCGCGTACTCACACTTCTCACGCACTCACTTAGTTGCTGACTACTTACTCATTCACTCACTCGTCACATACACATTCTTACTACTTAACACCCACTCACTCACTACTCCCTGGCTCGCTCGCATACACCGTTTATATATTCTTATTATATTTTTCTTCGTATTTCTCTTTTATTTTCTCCTCGTGTATAAACGAACACCCGTCCTCGCGTTCGTCTTCGTCGTCGCTTCGTCTCTCGCCGCGTCGAGAGACTCGCGCGGAGATCATCCACACACACTCTCCAGTCGGTGTGTAAGGTGCCGTGCCGCGGCGGCCGATAATCTTCTCGCCCTAGTCTCACTCGCACTCTCTTTTTCTTTCTCACTTTTTGTGCATGGGCTAGTATAAGCGCGCGCGCGCGCGCGCTCGTATATATGTGCACCAGGTCGAGTTAGACCAGACAAGAGAGAGGGAGTTATATCTCTAAATGACTCGCGTAACGTACACCAAGCCCACGGAATGTAAGCGCTTGTATGTGTAGCTTCCCTCCTTCGCGCTCCCGTTACACTAGCTATTGTGCGTAAATGTGTAAGTGTTATTTTACAATGTTCTGTCCCTTTCTAGTATATATGTAACTGTGTACGTCTCCTACCCCCCTTCTATCGGGTACGAGTCGTGGGAACACACTCTTGTAGATCGTCGTCAGACGGAGACAGAAAACGTACATTAAGCCCGTACACGTTTTACTTCTCCTCCCTCGCTTAGCCTGCTCCACTCACTCGCTCTGTCTCTCTCTCTCTATGCGCGGACACACACTCACACGCATGTGTGTAGGCACATATGTATGCATAATTACTTATCTATACTGCTTATCTCTCACTCTCTCACACTCGCTCTTTTGCAAACTGTTATTTCTCTTTGGAATGTTGAGGGACATTGTCGACGATGGTCGAGACAGTCAAAAATCTGTTCTCTCCCTCTTTCCTTCTTTCCCTCTCTTTTGCCTTCTCGTCATTGCTCCCTAATATTCTCCCTCTCTCTCTTTCTCTTACTCTTTTTCGTTACTGATTTCGGTACGCGAATTGCAACGTTAGCGCCACTTTCGTGGAACTATAGTGCAATAAGAAGTAGCTGATTTTTCCGTTTTTTGTGCGTTGTGAAGCGTCGCTGACACATAGGTAGAACGATTTAAGCAAGGTGTAAGTGTTAACAAATGTTTTATTTATTTGTTAATGCATTTGTATGCATTGTTATAAGTAATTAATTCACATGTGCAAATGCACGGTAACATTCTAATATATGAAGTTTCATTTTAAAATAAGGAACTAAATTTTTCTTAATATTAAAAGCATATGTTCGATAAATTTATAAATATATAATCTGAATAATCGACTCTACTCTATTTCATTACACTTTTAATATCCCATTCAAATAATCTACGCCACATTCATATTATAATTCAGAAGAAATATCAACAAAATCCTAATCATGTGTATGCCCGCATATAAATATGCAACATATATGCATTTAAAACTTTTACCAAAATAGTTCAAATACAACAGTGCTGACGTCGCAAACCATATAATCACATAGTAATAATAAATTATATAGGTAAATCAACGTTAATGACCGTCATTTATGGTTTATATACACCCTCTATTCTCAACCCGAAGAAAATTTATATCGAATTACTTTCAACAAGAGAATATGAAAATATAGCGAATGAAAGAAATATGGAGACATAGAAAACAAGTGCTTTGTGCCTATATATATATATATATATATATATAAGGATTTTCAGCACAAAGGCCCGCTTCGCATGCAGTCTTTTCTTCTATCTACACTTTTGATCACTATTTTTTAGACTCTTCGATATAGTTTTGTCATCAATTGGTATAAATTCTCATTCCTCCAATAAAATTCCTATTTCTGAAAACTAATATAACAACATTTTCGACCTGCATAATATTAGACATTCTTTTTAGGAACATTTTAAAATAAGTTTATAAGAACATTATAAATATAAGAGCATTATTGCAAACGCATTATTTGTCGCTTCATGGTCGTTTTAATTATTTTTCTTTTTCGCACACTACACGGCTGCCAACTGACGCCGTGATTACATATGTACAAATTCACAGGCACGCACAGGTTCATACGCATTGTAAGATTGAGAATACCGATATAGTTTGAATACGCAGATTGTATTGGCATGTATACGTATGTCTGCTAATGCGCTCAAAGTTAATTGTGTTGAACACAGGTACATTATATCTGCTGCAATAAATGTGGTAGCGCGCGCGCAAGAAGAAAAGGAAGCAAACAAGAAGTCTTGTTTGCATTTTACGGATAAGCGGTGTTGCCGTGTGATCCACTATGTATACCAGCAATTGTGTATCGTTGTGTATACATTAGGCAGCAACCCTCTACTTAAAGAAATATTTTCAAATTTAAAAAATATTAATTTTATCAACGATATTTAATAAGCATTAATATTTAATATACTCTCTATTTCTAATTCAATTAGAAAAAAATCAAAGTAAAATTCACGATCAAGCTATTGGACCTACATAAAATCGACCAATTTAAATATTGCTGATTAATCATAATATAACTCGAACTTTACCATTAACTTTTCAAGTAGGTAGATACAATACATTTTTTTATAGAAATAACGTGTATGTAAAAGCTGTTGTATTTATATTCTTAACAGTGTTTTATTATTTAAAAATGTTCAATTGTTTTTTAGTAAAGTACTAAAACATATTTTTCTCATTCTTATTTTTGAAAAACTAATATCTTTTAAAACAATATAATTATTACATTTTTTAAATACTTATTTCAGTTTGAAAAACTTATTGAAATAGAAATAAACTTTTAGAACGAGAGTAAAAATATCAATAAAAAAAGTTTTATTTAAATATATAATTTAATCAATTTGGCAATTAATAACATACAATACTTTATATAAATAAACTTTCTACATTCCTCTACATACAAGAAAATTCTTTCAATTTATTCTTCGGTTGTGTATAAATATTAATATATTTTTTAAATATAATTTCAAAAATATTACAGAACTGCTATTTTATTTTATATTGAAAAAAGTAAGAATATGTTGTTAATTTGTATAAGAATCTTGAACTTAAAATTATTTAACGAATTATTAGAAATTGGAACTGCACCTAAATATATACGGTGTTTATTTTTAGTAGACTATAATAGAACTCTAATATATTACCGAAAATAAGGCGTCAACGCAATATGTAAGATACCACTTGGATTGTGATGGAATTTTAATTTATTTATTAATATTAACAAATTACAGTATGCGTATGTATATATAATCTTCAATTTATAGTAGATTAGATCACAATAATTACAAGGTATTAATTAAATTAATTCGGAGTTTCATTTTTTTGTTGTAAGACAAAATAGCAATAATTAAATCGAATTTAATTCTAAAATTGATTTATGAGTGAATAGTTATTTATAATATATGTATTAATTGTTATATTGAAAGAATAAGTGATGTAAAATTGATTATTAACTTATTCAAGTTGTTGTTTATTCAGTAATATAAAGTAAGTATATAAACAATTGAATATCTATACAAAAACAAATATTTTAGTGTCGCTTTGGATTTAATAATCTTACAATTCAAACAATATGATTTTTCTTTAAATTTTACTTTGAATATCCTTAAAATAGTATTCTTTTTACAAAGAGAATGTTTTACGTTTATTAATTTTGAACGGTATATGAGGAGGACATGCTTAAATGTTGTTTAAATGATCGAGTAATACAAATCATTAGTGGGTTAGGATTTTTAAGCATTATATGAACATGAAATTTCAATACATATTTTATTTTATTTTTTTGAATATCATGTATATTATTATCATTTCACTTGAATTTAGAAAATCCATAAAATAGTATTAAAATTTTTAATATTTATTTATTATCTTTAATTATTTATTTTTAATAATTTTAAATATATGTAGATAGACATTTATTTAAACATAGAAAGTGCAATCAGCTAACACAAATGCATAAAAAATTATGCTAATAAAAACATTACCAATATTACCAATAGAACATTATAAAAATATCTTTATCCTTATTTAAATTAGCAAAAATGCTATGATAATTATAAATATATATATATATATATATATATATATATATATATATATATATATATATATATATAGTTAAAAATCTGAAGTATAAGTCGAAAGTATACCTTGATATCTATGAATATTTTTCATGTAAATAGATTTGTATGATTTCAAAAATAACATTTTATTATCCGGATTATAATAATTTATTAATATAATAAGTACAGTATTTTGCTATTTCATATAAAACTTGTATTTGTTTTCAGAGGATCATTTAAACAATCATTATTATAATTTTAATTTCATTTTTTTTAACAAAAGTAAGATCAATTTTCACAGATATTTAGAATGACCTGCTATATCCGATAAATTCCAATGTTCTTATATTAGCGAGTAAATAGAAGGAAAGAAGAGAGAGAAGAGAAATACTAGAAATTGCCCACTTCCAAAAGTTAATCAAATCAAAATGGCGACCAAAGTGCAAACTATAACCTTACTAAATGACACCCCCGCAATATTATATTCATATAATAAAAGAATATAAATACGTTTTTTTATTTTAAATATACTTAAATTGTTTTTCTTGAAATTAAATTACATTAAAACTTTATTACTTAATGCTTACTCAATTTAATGTAAGTTCTGTTTATTTTTAATTTACTTTTAAGTAATTATATAATTTATAAAATCATCAAATATAATTATGACTACTAAAATAACTAAAAAATTAATCAAGAATTTTTAGTATCTTCCAATATGACAGCATTGGATTTAGATCCACAATTTTTACAAGCTCTGAAATTGCTCCATTCTACAAACAAAGATTCTGTAGAGCAATTACGCGGTCTTCTTGACGAGGCAATTAAACAAAAATATGGAGCATCTAAAATGTTATCCAATACATTACATAAAAAGGTAACAAATATTAAATAAAAAAGTTTTCTGTGATAATAAATATTATTCAAAACTTACAGTATACATTAGAAGAACCTGTATTAAGTGATCAAAGTAGTACGAGTAGTAAAAGAAGTAAAAGTTCAAATTCATCTAAACATTCTAAGTCTAGCAAAAACAATTCTCCTGTAACTATACAAGACACTCCTCCAGATCTATTACAAAGCGATGACAATCTAGCCGACATTTTAGAGGATGTTGCTTGTGTTATCTGTAAAGGAATGGATGTTGGAGCAAAGAATAGATTGGTGGAATGTGTAAAATGCGGTTCTCTGTACCATCAAGAATGTCACACACCCCATATTCTTGACTCACAAGTTGATACCCACCCAGTAGAATGGTATTGCTGTAATTGCGTAAAGACTCAACTGGTATATATTAATGTGTTATACAATCTCCCAGATAAATATTGAATGTTTGTAATTATTGAATAATGTAATTCTTATATACATATCTAGGTGTTAAAAGAAAGAAATTCACCAAAACCTGTAACTGAAACTAAAATTAAAGAGTCAAAAAAATCATCCTCGTCAAGTAAGTTTATGTTTATTAATTATAATACTATTAATTATTAAAGTTTTTGACAAGTAAAACAAAACTAAAAGATTTTCATATTCATACACAGAACAGTTTATATTTTAATTTTATTTAATTATGTTTAAATTATTTCAGAATTTATTTTTAATTTAAGCCTTTATTTATAGAATATTTTTATAATCTTTGTAATCTATAAAAAATATAAATGTGTTAATAATCAGAATTGCATAAGAAAATTGATTATCAAATTTATAACTATTTACGATATTACATTTTGTTTTATAAAATTTAGGTTCTAAACATACAGATAAATATAAATCATCAAGTTCAACAAATCAATCACAAAATTCTAATGGTAGTAATTCCAATTCAAAATTAGTACCAAATATTCACATAGTCAGTGCAGATCGACGATTAAAAGATATGATAAAAAAAGCAAAGCAAGATAAACGGAGTAGAAGTACCAATTCAGGAACTAACAAACATTCATCAAGTTCTAGTTCTTCATCAAAAAATTCTCATGATAAATCTTTTATTTATAAAAATAAATCAGATTAAGTAAGAATTATGTCATGTAAAAATATGTGTTTTTGCAAATTAATTTTGTTATAAATATTAATTAAACGAACGAATTAATGCACCATTAATGTAATATTTAAAATATTATTTATATATCTGCACTTTGCATTATTAGTGTATCAATTAAATTGTTTGATTAATATTTGTATATATATTTTACGAATATACAATTAAATTTTAAAAATGTAAATATTGATATAAAATTATAATAATATTAAAGACGTTTTGTTTTAATTTCAATACTGAAAATACTTTAAATAAAATTCATATTAAATAATGTTTTATATAGTATATTTTTAAGTAATATAAATTATAAACGAAGAAAAATTGCTAAACAACATAAATATCTTACTAGTATAAAATTGTCTAATCTAATATTATTTTATAATTAGCATCTCTAAGTTTGTAAAGAAGAATAATAAACAATTATATTAAATAAATTCATCATAGATTTTATTAATAATTTCTTGTGCAAAAATCGAGGTTCATTTAACAAACAAAAAACATACCAAATATATTTATTATCTTTAAACACGAGGTAAACAAACAGATGTTGTAGTTACAAAATTATACAATAAAAATTAAATAATCATAGAATTTCTACTGTAAACATATTTTATAATTAATGTTAGTTCTCATTATAGTTTATATTATAGTTATATAGTTTATAATATAGTTATATTATAGTTTATTTTGATAATACTATTTTAATTAGTTCTAATTTTAGGAATATTTAAAAATGAGATACAAAGATGAGATGATTTATAAATTGAATTTACCAATTAAATTACTTTTTAAACTCATACGTAAGCCAAGCACATTCGGCTTACTACCAACACAGAGATCGTCTCCAACTGATACGTAAGCCAAGCACATTCAAAAAAAGATTAATATAAGCCAATATGCTTTTTAAAAGTAATTACATAATTTTTCAAAAATATATCTAAACATATTTACTTATTTGAATTTTATAAAAAATTCATCGATTTTTAACATCAAACTATTTATATTTTAATCTATTATTTACAAGTAGTTCACTAGAATGAGTATTACAGTTCAAAATAGTACTTTTTTATAAAAAAATAAAATACAATTTTAATCTAATTATAACGATTACTCTTCTAATGGTTAAAACAGTAATTTATATGAAAATATTACAATACCATTAATAAATATCTTTTTATAATAATATGAAATTCAATAAACATGTACTATCTATAGTACTGAATACTACGACTATAAACGACTATTCGACGAGCTTCCTATATTCACCACAATCACTTACTTTATATAAAGACGGCTCAATTAAGTTGATAAAAATACCTACATACAATTATATAGATAAAAACATATTTACAGATTGTTAAAATAGAATGTATTGATTTATTTGAAATTATACCAATAAACTTTATATATATATACATTATGTACATGTTTTAAAATATGAATAAATAATGCTATTTTAATAAATAACAAAGTATAAATCGAATACAATTTTTTTTATATATTTTTGATGTTTATATTAAATGTTTGTTCAAATATTAAAATATAAAAATAACAATTTCAGGTGAAAAATTAGTAATAAAAGAAATTTTATCTATATAATAATTTTTGTATATTTCTATATTATATTTACAAAATAAGAAATTTATAATTCAAATTATAATCAAACTGAAATACAAATAAGTTTTTCGTGATAAACTATCAAAATTCACACTACAAATTCATAAATTACTCGATTCTAATGCATAAATATATAAAATATATGTTAAAAATTAAAAAAAAATTTAGTCCGGCAAAATAAAGTTTATAAAATATATAATGTGGAAACGTATATAATATAAAATTATTAATTTAGTATTTTTAATTTAATTTTTAAAGTCTATATTGTATTTATTGTATACTTGAAAATGGTATTACTTTTATTATTTTTATATATTTTTTTAAACGACTATTCGAAATTATTTCATCTTACATTTTCTATGAATTCTATGAAATTTCTATGAAAGAAATTTTTAATTAATAGTTTTGAAGATAAAAATAGATCGAACATTTTATTCAAAAGATGTCATCCCAAATTTTTTAATACGAAATGATTATTTTTCTATTGACCATATTATGATTTTTCATTCATTATTATCGTGAAAATGAATTAAATAATGTACAAGTACAAGAAAAGTTCATTATTTAATGGCTTTTGCTTCTTAACTTTTACTGCGTATATTTATTTAAAGTAATATTATTTTTAGTCAGATTAAAAAAAATATATAAAAATTTGTAAAATGATAAATTGGTCTTCCATTAAAGTTTTGGCTTTATTAAGTTTTCAAATAATATATTTTGAAAACATTAATTTAATTTAAAAACATAATACCTACACATCGTTTAATTTAATTATGATTATATTACTTCTCAATCCTCGGAATTTAAAGTAAATTAATTTTTATTAAAAAATTTCTCATTTATAGCCATAATATTAGCATTGATATAATTTATTCTACTAAAATATTGTGTCTTCCGACTAAGTCTTAGGAATTGATTAATTTGGATATCTAGGAATACTTGAGTATCTACTTTTTAGAATTTGAAGATCCTCGATCAACATGAATACCAAAACCTTTTATAGCTATTAAATTACTTATACTTAATGCTAACTCAAATTGAAAAAATGCAATTCACAAATAATGTAGTAACGATGTAAGTTTTTAAAAATGAAAACTTTTGCTTAAAAATGTCAATAATATTAGCAGTATTTAAGCAATAATTTGTGTATAAATAACATTAAAAATTCTTGAACCTGTCTTACTAATACATTTCAATATTTGGAAAAAGTAATTATTTTCTCGAATAAATTTTGATTAAAATAAATGAAAGTCCCTTAAATATAGATACATTAAATGTAATTTTTATCGATAATTTAATATCTATACTATAAACTATTTTATCAATAATTATTTTACAATATTTTTGAAAAATGTCCATTTTAAAGATAAATAAAAAAGATACACCTTTTTATTTATTTTAATTTATTTTAATTGATAAATATAGGAAAACATTATTTATCTTTATTATTAAACTGAAAAATAATTATATGATTAATATTTATTCATATAAAATATCAATATTAATTGATTTCTCTTATGTTTAAAAAGCAATTAAAAAATATATATATATAAAGTATTCAGTTTTGTTATTTATCAATATGTAACATTTTTATGTTTTACTTAATTGTTAATTAATAGTTTAGTAATGTATAAAGCAATTAATAAAATAATTTAATACCTAAATTTTTAATTAAATCTTATCTTAAATTTTTAACTTTTTACATTTAAATCTAAGGAAAATTAATTTAATTTATTAGTGGTATAATAAATATTTAATACAGTTGTATATTTACATATATAATTAATTATCGAAAATTCATCGTCATTAGAATATATATACATGTATTGTGTTCACCAATTATTTCAACATTATCTATTTATTTTTTTCATGCATATATTTTAATTACCCGTAACTACAAATAGAATTCAATCATTTGAAAATAAAAATTAAAATGATACATTAAGCAATACTAAAGACCAGTGGCTTTTATTAAAGTGTATTTAGCAATTTATCCATTAAATTATTTAAAAATGTAACAAGTATTTAGGTATCGTGATCTAAAAATTTTTATTATTTAATTAAATAGCGAAAACAAAAGCTAGTTTTTATATATATCATTTGACACGTGAGTAATTCATTATAATCTGCATTTTCGGATCCGCATAACAAACTATAATGAGCATGCTAAGTATTTTTAATTCACAGACACAATATGAAAAGAAAAACTTGGACTAGAATTATCGTCAAAGAATAGTAAGTAAGATTAAATTTTAATTTCATTAATCAAGGTAAGTTTAAAAATTAAGTGACGACTGTTGATTGAAGCTATAATAATTCTATTATTATAATAATAATTGTATTACATCCTCATTAATCTAATGTCTAGTATTTCTTTGTTTCTTTATGAAATTAAAAATTAATTTAGTTCCACAAAAAGTGTGGAAAGAAATTAATAATCAAAATAAAAAAATTTTAATTATATATGTTTTCATTGCTATATTTCTTTACAAAAAAAAAATTTTAAAGATAATCTTAATAGAATATAAAACCAAATTTTAAATTACCATAATTAATAAAATATTAAAAATATGTGTATGGAAAACTTTTCCTACCAATAACATTAACGGCTAGTTAATTAATTATTAAAATTTAAAGCAAGTGATAATTTTAATTATTAATGGTACTAAAATTATTTTTGATTAAATTACCTATTAAAACTATTGATCACATATTTGTTTTAAAAAGCGATAGTATAATAAAATTTTGTAATTCAACTGTCAAACAATAACTATTTTATTTAAATATGTATTCTTTAAAACTATAAAGATTAATAAGGATATACTATATTTATTTATTTTCTAATCAATTGTTTTCATTTATTAAAAATCTGAATCTCATAAAAAAAATTATATTAATATTTAAATTATTAAATATTAAATTAAAATAAATTATTTATAAATTATTATTATATTATTATAATTATTATAATTATTTATAAAATAAATTAAAATAAAATATTAAATTATTAAAATTTATATTTATTGCTATTTTTTATGCTTTATAAGGTAAAATTTTTTATTAGTCTTATTTGAAAACTGTATATTTCTTTTTCTTTTTATTCAAATTATATTTAATAAAATTATATCAGTTTTAGAACGAGTCATAAATTTTGTTGATTAAAAACACGATTCTTAAATAGAAATTTTACTATATTTATTTTTGTAACATTCAGAGCTATTATTAATATATTTACTTACCAATTCCAAATAGTATGCTGTATTATAGAGTACTAAAGAATTAATATAATGTGTTGTTTATTTAATTAGGTCGCTTTATTAATTACAGTAAGTTATATACTGCAATATCCACAATAAAATGAATCGAGTAA